TCTTACCCAGCAATACCTGCGTGACCCGTGCGGGGTTGCTTTTCAGACTAGGGAGTCCCAGCAGAGATTTCAGGTAGCAATAAATAAAATAAATCGTGTCCCTGCCTTTGGCTCACCCGCGTGTGCAGGCCCCTCACAGACACCTCAGGGTGAGGGTGTGGCCCCTTCCCAAGGCCGGGCTCGCTGTGACTGCGGGTCTGTGCAGCGCCGAGCACAACGGGGCTGCGGACTTGGGTTCGGTTTCTAGGCGACACCTCGCTGGTGACTCGTGGGAGCCGCACGAGCCGCTCGCTGGGGACTATGAGGCCGGGGCCGCATCTCTGGGCACTAAAGAGCGAACGAACCGGCCCCTGCTTTGCATGCCGCGCGCGCTATGCAAATGAGGGGTTTCTTTCCCCTCCAGCACAGACTATTTCTGCCCTCTCGTCCCTCGGCCCCTCCCAACGCCCAGCCCGTGTCGCTCCCTCCGGGTCTCGGTGCCTGTGTCTGTCCGGCTGCCCAGCGGGGAGATGAAATTCCTGCTCCCGTCTCTCCTGCTCTGTGCCCTGGCGGCAGGTAAGTGCCTCGGCGCGAGCTGTCTCTGCCCCGCGGAGCCCGCCGCGCCCCGCGCTCTGGCTGAGGTTTCTCCTGGCTCTTTGCAGGTGGCCGCTCCCAGGTGACACTGCGGCAGCCCGGAGCCGCCCAGGTGAAGCCTTCGCAGACCCTGAGCCTCACCTGCTCCGTGTCCGGATTCTCTCTGACTGATAATACAGTGGGCTGGATCCGACAACCCCCGGGGAAAGGCCTGGAGTGGCTAACCACTGTGTACTGGAATGATGACAAGTATTACCAGGAGTCCCTGAAAAGCCGCTTGAGCATCTCCAGGGACACGTCCAAGGGCGAGGTGTATTTGGAAATGAGAAGCCTGGAAGCCGGAGACAGCGGCACCTATTACTGCGCCAGACACACAGTGACACAGAGCCCAGCAGGGACTCGCACAAAAAGGGGAAGCGGATTCCAAACAGCGCAGCAAGGCCAGATCAGCTCAGAGCAAAGAGATTTCCCCAACCAACCTTCCTACCAATGGGAAGGAAATTGAAAAAGGAGGAAACGCAACTGGGCAGTTCTCCCTGACTGAGCGGGGTGGACGGTCCTACCTACCAGGTACTGCCCTTGGAAGATCGGAGATCACCGCTCACAGGCAGATTTCCCCTCGTGTTTACACATCCCTGGATTCTGTGTTATGTCAGTTTCACATCCACTGTGTGTGACACTGTGACAGCCCGACACTGGACACCTTAACATTCAGCTTCAGCAATTGTCCCTTAGTTCACACGGACGCCCAGCTGAGGTCAAGTAGCTTTAGCGTTGTCCTAGGTCGGGGCCCAAATTCCATAGATCTGCTCTGGCCTCCTCCCTGACTGTGCCCCATGTTTTTGTACAGACGGGCACAGCCGAGGTTTCGTCAAACCATGTAGCCCCGCCCACATGCAAATGAGGGAGGCAAACTGCCTGATAAAGAACAGCCAGGGGGCGTCCCCAACAGGCGGCGGGTTTCCTGCTTTGCAGCGCACAAGGTGGGAGAGGAGAATGACAATGACAGTTCTGGGGTTCTGTTTCCTTCTGGCGGCTGGCTCAGGTAAGGGGGTGGTGCGGGTGTCTGCTGGGCACAGCTGGTCTGGGGAGCAAAGATGGTTTGAAGGTGAAGACGTAAGAGATGGGTCAGGAACTCTGGATTCTAAATCCCAGCTCTGGGCACATCGAACAGGGTTGAATTTTAAAGCCAAGTTGAGTATTTTGCTGCCCTGGTTTCATTACTCTGTATTAGGAATCCCGTACACAGCTCTGAAAAAAAATCCAGCCCAGTTTATGCCTCACTTTCCCCTCTGAAAAAATGATGTATCTGCACTTCCCTACTGCACAGGCATATGGCGGGGACAAATTCGTTCCTACAAAAAGGCAGATCAGAGACGGGGCAAGACAAGCACTTGGATAAGTTTGGGAAGAGGTGCAGTAGAATGGATTTAACGGCATTTTTATTATCTTTGCACAGGTGCCTGCTCCCAGGTCCAGCTGACCCAGTCTAAGGCAAAAACCAAGAAGCCCGGAGAGTTTGTGAAGGTGACATGTAAAACCTCCGGCTACACATTACATCCACTGCCTAGGCACGGCAGGCTTCCGGGCAAGGCCTGGAATGGGTAGGACGGTCAGTCCCTACAGCGGTAGCACGGGCTATGCTCCGGCCTTCCAGGGCCGAGTCACCATCACCAAGGACACCTCCATAAGCACGGCCTGGCTGTAGCTGGGTAGCCTGCGAGCCGATGACACCGCCACGTATTACTGCGCTCGGTGACACGAACCAGAGCTACAGCCCGTCACACACCTCACTGAGAGAACACAGGGCTCTCGATCCTTCCGAAGCTCCAGAGAGTATTCCCCTGTGTATACAGACCTTTGCTCCTTTCCCCCGAAAGGTCTTAGGTTCCTGACTCACTGCAACCTCATGGGAGAGTGTTTCCCTCCCCTCTCCCCTTCTTATAAGTTACTTTCCAAAGGATGAATTAGACTCCTGTGACAATCACCTGTCACAGCCACAAAGCTGCCCTGGGCAAATGCCTGCAGCACCAGACTATGGGGAATGTGGAGGACGGGTCTTTCAAAGTACCTTCTTGAAGCTGTATGAATAAATTCATACTCATTAGGGCTGAATGACTCGCGGTGTCTGCAACACAAATTCCTTCGTCAGTGGAACATGTGGGCTCAAATTCCTGTCCCGGTGAGCCTGGCTTTACCCTGTCCTAGGCAAGTGCTCTAACCACTAGGTACAAGCTGTGGAACGCACCACTCACTCCTTCAGCACAAGGGGCTCGGGGCGGTTACTAAATACCAGCCCAAGCAGCTATCTACAAGAGAGGGATGCGAATCCCAATTGCCCTTCTTGGCACCGAACTCTCTGTAACACCTGGGAGGTCACCTCCAACCCCGCCTCAGCATTGCCCTGCGGATACAGCTCGAAGCTGCCCGCTCAGAGCTCTGTCCCTTGCAGATCCCACAAGCAAGCCCCTAACTCTCCTCTACACGCGCCTCCCTACCGCTAGGGCAGCCCCACGTGCCCAAAGGGGGCGCTGCAGGGGACGACTCCTCTCCCACCCCTCTGGTGGCCACTTCCTGGCTGCAGGAGCAAGTCCCAGACCGTGTCTCCTGGTGCTGTCCCTGGGCCTCCTGGGTCCCAGCCCTGCACAGAACAGCTCGGCCCCCGGACCCAGGGGAAGCCCTGAACCAGAGGTTTCTTCCCTCCTAGGCTTGACTTCAGTCCCCGCTTGTGAGGGAACCAGGCTCCTAACCCTTCCGGCCTGGGAGTCCAAGTGCCACTTAAGTCCCCCTGTTCCCTTCCAAGGCATCTCGCTTCCTCCCCGGGCTGCACAAACCTGCCTCTGGCCTCAGTATCTCCCAGGAGTTAACCCCGCTCCCGCCGCGGGGCTGCCTGGCCACAGCCTGTCCTGAGCGGAACCTCCCGCCGCGAACTCTGCCCGGCTCCTCTCAAACCCCTGAGCCCCCCGCCCCGCCCTGCTGCAGCAGCGCTCGTCGCCCCCAGCGCCCCAGCCCGGCTCGGCTCCTAGCTCAGCCCCGGGGTCACTAATAACCTCCAGGCTGCCCGGGTATCAGGGAGGCTGAGGCTGAGCTTCCCAGCCAGGACCAGGCAGAGCCCGGTTCCCTCAGCAGCCCGGCCGGCCCGCGGCACCTGCCCGGGTGCCTAATGGGGGAAGGAAGGAACCTGGCGAGGTCACCGAGTCCAGTAAAGGGCCTTGGCCCTTCCCTCCGATACCCCAGAACAAAGGCCCAGGCCAGTCCGAGGACCAGTTTGTGTCTCTGAGAAAGGGGGGAACATGCGACCGAGGAGGCAGTTTCCTGTTTGAACCTGTCCCTGCGTTTGCCCAGGATGCTCCCGCAGGGACAATCCGCAACCCCTGGGTCTGGGCAAGGACCGGCCAGTCCCCGGAGAACTTCCCCCTCCAGCACCGGGGACAGCGACCCAAAGGCAGCTCCAGAAGCGGGCGGGGCTATTCACTCCCGTCCCGGGCACTGGGGGGACCAGACAATATCGGGGCATCGCTCCGGGCCGGGTTCCCGACGTCACCGGCAACATCAGGCGGAGCGGCACTTCCGAATTGCTCCACGCAGGCAGCGCAGTGGCAGGGAGCCGTGGGAGCGAGCCCGCGGGAAAGGCCAGATGGGCCCGAACTCGCTCACCGAGATCGGCGCTTCGCTCCGCAGGGTATCTCCGCAGGAACGTGACTCCCGCTCCGGAATCGGGCCCCTACCCTGCCCTAGGCAGTTCTGGGGAGACTTGCACCTGGCGACACACGGAAGGGCGAGAGGCGCCGAATGTGGGGGCGCCTCCCTCACAACTTCCAGCCCAGCAGGTGAGCCCCGAAAGCGGAAGGTGGGGATCAGAGATCCAGCCCCCTCTGCTGGATAAAGGGGAAGGTTTGAGCAGAGGGTCTCCTGCCCCTCAGGAGAGCGGGAGCTGAGCACTGAGCCGTGGGACAGGCGGGTGAGGCGGGCGCGTCTCAGTCTTTCCGGCTGAATTGTTTTAATAAAGGAAGAGGGCGGGACTTTGAGCCTCTCCCGCTGGTGTCCTAACCACTAGGCTAGAGAATCATCTTCCTTCCCCGGCTCTGGCACCCCATCCCCCATGACTCTCCACTGGACGCTCCCCATTAAATCTAATGGATCCTAGGGCGGAATTATCATCAGCACAACATTTAGGACAGTTTGATTCTGTTCCTTTGTCTCGGTCTGTGTCTCAGTCCCGAAATACAAGTCCCCACACTCAGGGATGGAGCAGGCTTCTCTCATAAGGGAGGGGCTATGCAAATGGAGGTGGGAACGTCTAATTTATACCTGCTTCTGTCTGACTCTCTGCCCAGGCTGAACCTAGACAGAGAATCAGCAGACTCCTGGGTCTGGGCAGTGACCAGCCAGTCCCCTGAGAACTTCCCCGGCCAGCGCCCAGGACAATGGGATTTTCGCTCCGTTTGGTTACCATTCTAGCAGCTTTGGAAGGTATCGCCCATCCGGATTCCATCGCACAGGAGGGGGATTTAGTGTTTGCTGTTAATGTAATTTCTAACTTGTCCTTGTTCCCAGGTGCCCGGTGCCAGGTGCTGCTGGTGGAGTCCGGAGGGGATGTGAAGAAGCCCGGAGACTCTCTGCGCCTCTCCTGTAAAGCCTCCGGCTTCACCTTCAGCAGCTACAACATGAACTGGGTCCGGCAGGCTCCCGCGAAGGGGCTGGAGTGGGTTGCCCACATTAAAAGCGCCCCAACCTACTATGCTGACTCAGTCAAAGGCCGATTCACCATCTCCAGGGACAACCCCAACAACCTGCTGCACCTGCAAATGACCGGCCTGAAGCCCGAGGACACCGCCCGCTATTACTGTGCCAGAGACATCACAGTGACACTAACCCTTTAGCTGGCAATGCAAAAACCAGAGCTGCAGAACTTCCTGCGTCTGGCCCACGCTGGCGGCAGAGCAGGGCTGGCCTTACTATGAGGCGAACTGAGGCGGTGACTCAGATGCCACACTGGGGGGCGCGTCTAGGACCTAGAGTGTAGAACATCGTGTCTGCTGCTGGTGCACGTGTTCTCTCCGCTCTAGGTGCACAGAGACGGTGCAGTGCTGAGTCGTCGGACACGGCAGCGCCAGCTGGAATGGATGGGACATTCATGGAGCGGTTAACATGAACCTCTCCCGTCATTCCCAAACCGATTACTCGTGTCCTGGGACACGTCCAGAAATGAGGATTGTCTCGTGCTGAGCGCTCTGAACACTGCGGACAGCGCCACGTATTATTGTGCTGCAAATAAATATAACAGCTGCACAGCGCTACATTCCACTGCAAAAACCCAGCCACCCGCAGGCGAGGGAGAGGCAGCGCATCTGTCCACTGTACAGAGAGTGGGGACTTGGTGTATTTTAGGCTTCTCTTACTAATTTAAACAGACAAGGTGGGTTTAACTCTTTTAATACAATCTCTCTGCGCCTCCTTTTAATAGGACAGGTTACTTGGCTGGCTGGCTGGCTGGGTGGGTGGATGGATGTGTATAGGGATGGATGGATGGATGGGAGGGTCGTGGCAGGGACTGGGAAGCTCGGTCTCGTTTAAATCTCACAGGACACTGACAACTGTCCCGTTTGCTCCCCCGACCCCTGGCACTGGTCCTGGGCACAGGAGACAGGCGGGAAGGGACTTTCTGAGTCCCCAGGGACCGAGTGGCGGAGCGACCCGGGGCTCCCTTGTGGGCTAGAAAGGACCCGGCCCAGCACAGAGATGCCGCGTGATGCAGCTGCGGGTTCAGGCTGCCCGGGGAAGCTGCCAGGCGGGTTCTGCTGGGAGCAGGGTCACAGACCCAGGCTCCGATCGCCACGTGGAGTCACAGGAGCCTGGAACCTGCAGTGTCCGCGCAGAGGGCGGAGCAGAAATTCCGCGCATGCGCCTGCGCCTCCCTCCCGCTCAAGGTCCCCCCTCCCAGTCCCCAAGCGAACGTCCCTGCGCCGGCTCAGAGCCGCACCGACCTGCGGCCCAGGGGCTGGGATGGGAGAGGAGGCAGAACGCTCCGATCGCCACGTGGAGTCACAGGAGCCTGGAACCTGCAGTGTCCGCGCAGAGGGCGGAGCAGAAATTCCGCGCATGCGCCTGCGCCTCCCTCCCGCTCAAGGTCCCCCCTCCCAGTCCCCAAGCGAACGTCCCTGCGCCGGCTCAGAGCCGCACCGACCTGCGGCCCAGGGGCTGGGATGGGAGAGGAGGCAGAACAACGCGTGTGACTCCAGCCGTGAGCGCCACGGCCCGTGGAAATGTCGCGCGGAGGCACCAACCCGCAGCAAAGCCCCGCGCGCCTCCCTCCAGCCGCTGCTCTCGCTGCAGTGAACGGGGGAGAACAGGTCGGGCGGCGTCCCAGCCCGCCAGGGGATAGCTCCGTCTGGAGCCGGGCACTGCTGGGCAGGGTGCGGGTGCGGAGTTAGCTCCATACCTGCAGTCAGGGACCGGGACGACATCACACTGTTGGCTCTGACATGGGAGTGATTTGTAACCGGTCTGTGTTCCCAGGGGCCCAGTCCCAGGTGCAGCTGGTGGAGTCCGGAGGGGATGTGAAGAAGCCCGAAGACTCTCTGCGCGTCTCCTGCAAAGCCTCCGGCTTCACCATCAGCAGCCCCTGTATGGATTGGGTCCGGCAGGCTCCCGGGAAGAGGCTGGAGTGGGTGGCTGCGACTAACGAAGCTGGATCGAGCCAGAGGTATTCCCCGGCTGTTCAAGGCCGATTCACCGTCTCCAGAGACAATGCTAACAAACTGCTGCACCCGCAAATGACCGGCCTGAATCCCGAAGACACCGCCCGCTAAGACAGTGACACTAACCCTGCGGCTGCTCGTACACAAACCAGAGCCCCCCCTCTCCTCCTCCAGCTCTTACCCCACCGCATATCCCATATCCCCAAAACTCCACCCCCTCCTTCAGTCCCCACCCCAGGCCCGCCTCCATACCCCACAGCCCCACCCCTCCTCCAATCCCCACACCCTGACCCCACCTGCAGCCCAAAGCCCCCATACTTCCCAGTCCCCAGGTCCCTCCCCCGCAGCTGACAGCCTTGCTGAGCATGAGCCCCAGCGACACTCCCACCGCGGTTCCAGGTTTCAGTGAGGGGAGGGGGGGCGGGAAGGACGCTGCCTGCTTCGGTTTAGTCGCTTCCAGAGAGGACAGAATTAAAACTCGAGCAGTCAGGCTGGGAGGCGGCTAAAGCCAAGAGCCCCGTTCCGTTGTGTCAGCCTCCGGCCAGCGGGTCTCAGATCTAGTCTCTCAGTTTCTGTCCTAAAAACACTACCGGCTTCAGTGACATACTCCTGCAATAATCGCACTCACCTGCCAGCCGCCAGCAGGAGACACCAGCTGACCAGCTGGGGGCGCCCACGAGCTGCAAATACTGGACAATTCGCCCGTCTAGACATCTTCAAGGGACTTAACTACAGGACTGTCCCGTTAAAAACGGGGCGGGTGGTCACCCAGTTTACAGGAAATGTATTATCTGGAGGGGGGATAAATTCAAGTGAATGCGGCAGGCCGTGCCAACAGGGGGCGCCCTAAGGCAGGGTGCAGAGGCAGAACAACAGGCAGCCAGTAAGAGACGAGGCAGCTTGTGTGTGATAGAGGGGTCAGGGTGCAGGGGGTGAGTCAGAGGTTTGTGTCACCGCTCCCCATGGGCACCCTAAAGAAGATTCCTCAAGGGGGGGCGGTGCTGAAGCCCCAAATCCCGGCACATGCTGCGGGGGTGAAATGTTGATCCCTGGCAGCCCCTTCCATGCTGAATTCCCCGCGCCCCCCAGGCTGAAATGTTGGAACCCGGTGAAACTGCCTGATTTCCCAGCACCTCTCCAGGCTTTAGGCGTAACCCGCAGTGCCCCCGGAAGTCCCAGCACCACCCCCGACTGAAGCCCTTATCTGTGCTGACTTCCTGAATCGCCAGCACAAACACACCCTGCTGACCGGCCAGTCCTTGCCCCTTCCCGCCTCCCAAGCCATGAAAGCTGCGGCCCAAGCCGGAAGTGGCAGGGCTCAGTCCTGCATGCCAGTGCTCCCTGTAGGGGAGAAGCCTCCAAAGCCCGTGGGCAGAGTTGCGGGGCTCTCTAGCAAGTGCAGCGCAGTCCCGGGAGAGCCCCACAGCTCTTTGGCTCCCTGGGCCCGGCCAGGTCAGAGGCAGGTGCGCAAGCCCCGGGAATCGCTCCCCTGTATCTAGTAAAATCTCCTGGAGTGAAAGTGCCGCGTGTTTATCGGCAGGTGGCGCTGTTGCTCCAAAGGGACCGACTAGCCCAGAGAAGAGCCCCCTGCCCGCACAGAGATCGATGCTCTCCCCAAAGGGCTTTGGGAGCCAGACCATAGGACCTAACAATAGTCACTGCAGGGTTCATTCCTCCGAGCGCCGAAAGTGCCTGAAGGATCCCAGCGCCCTGTGCCCGGCGCTGCACAGACGCTCAGGCGGGGCCAGTCTGACTCCAGCACCCGGAGCCCCAGGGCGAGTCAAGCCCATCACTGGCGGGAGCAGGGCGGGGATCTTATAAGCAGCGCGTTATGCAAATGAGGGAGTCAGCGTCCTGTTTAAGTCTGCCCCTCGCTCTGCCCATGCTGCACCCGCAGGGACAATTCTCAGCCCCGGAGAACTTTCCCCGCCAGCGCCGGGAAACATGAAATTTTTGCTCCTTCTGTGTTTCGCTGCAGCGGCTTGGGAAGGTATCTTCTTCGTCTGAGTAACGGCGGAGGAGAGTTAAATTCTCCTTGCGTGGCTACCCATATTGATAACTTGTCTGTGTTCCCAGGTGCCCGCTCCCAGATCAGCTTGGTGGAGTCCGGAGGGGATGTGAAGAAGCCCGGAGACTCTCTGCGCCTCTCCTGCAAAGCCTCCGGCTTCACCTTCAGCAGCTACAACATGAACTGGGTCCGGCAGGCTCCCGGGCAGGGGCTGGAGTGGATCTCACGTATTTACACTGATGGGAGCCAACAATTTTACGCAGACTCAGTAAAAGGCCGATTCACCATCTCCAGGGACAACCCCAACAACCTGCTGCACCTGCAAATGACCGGCCTGAAGCCCGAGGACACCGCCCGCTATTACTGTGCGGGGAGACACAGCGAGGGGAATCCCGACAGGCTGATACAAAAACTCCAGCGGCAGAATCGCTCCCCTGCGCCGCGCGGGGGCAGCACTTCCACAGGAATCCCGCGCCAGGCCCAGCAACAACATTATCATCTTGTTCCAGCTCCCTGGCTACGTCTACACTGGCCCCTCTTCCGGAAGGGGCATGTAAATTTCACTAGTCGTCGTAGGGAAATCCGCGGGGGATTTAAATATCCCCCGCGGCATTTAAATAAAAATGTCCGCCGCTTTTTTCCGGCTTTTAAAAAAGCCGGAAAAGAGCGTCTAGACTGGCCCCGATCCTCCGGAAAAAGTGCCCTTTTCCGGAGGCTCTTATTCCTACTTTGAAGGAGGCTGAGGGAGTTGGGTCTGTTTAGTCTGGAGAAGCGAAGAGTGAGGGGGGATATGATGCTGCTATCATATCCCCCCTCACTCTTCGCTTCTCCAGACTAAACAGACCCAACTCCCTCAGCCTCTCCTCATAGGTCATATGCTCCAGCCCCCTAAGGGCACTTTTTCCGGAGGATCGGGGCCAGTCTAGACGCTCTTTTCCGGCTTTTTTAAAAGCCGGAAAAAAGCGGCGGACATTTTTATTTAAATGCCGCGGGGGATATTTAAATCCCCCGCGGATTTCCCTACGACGACTAGTGAAATTTACATGCCCCTTCCGGAAGAGGGGCCAGTGTAGACGTAGCCCCTGTGTCTATGTGTCTGAACTGTAAACTGCTTGGAGCGCAGATCTTTGCTGTTTCCCAGAGGGTCAGGGCCGTCCTTAGGGCACCACACTTTCTGGGGCACCACTCTGCCAGCCCGGGACAAGGGGAAGCATACCCGTGAGCTCTGCACCGGAGCCAGTAGGGGCACTGCCCGCACTAGCGGCTCCGCCAGAAGATCACACCAGGCCTAGGAACTCCGGTGAGGAGGCCGGCAAGCTGACCCCAGCTGGGGAAGGGAAGCTGTCAGCTCAGGCGGCAGCGTCTGAAGGAGCCGGGGCTGCTCCGGGGGTGGAATCAAATCAGGGGTGGCTTGGCATTGCGGCGCCATTTTTAAAAGCAGCCAAGCTGCGCCCCCAGCTTATCCAGGAGCTCGTCGGCCCTTGGCATTGGGTAGGTGTCGGACACCGTGATGGCGTTGAGCTTCTGGTAGTCCATGCAGAACCGGATCGACCCGTCTTTCTTGGGAACCAGCACCACAGGAGAGGCCCAGGGGCTGGAGGATGGCTGGATCATCCCCAGGGCCAACATGTCCTGGACATCTCTCTCCAGGTCCTGGGCTGTTTTCCCCGGGACCCTTAATGCGGAGTAGCGCACTGGGGGGGGGAGGGAGGGGGTGAGTGCCTGTCTCCAGCTGGTGGACAGCCAGGTTGGTGAGACCAGGCTTGTTGGAGAACAGCTGCTGGCGGGAGCACAGCACCTCTTGGATCTCAGCCTGCTGGGCTGGGGTGAGCTGGTCCGAAACAGAAATTGATTCCAGCGAAGAGTCCTCTCCGGTCCCAGGGAACAGGCCTACCAGGGAATCCTTCCCCTGCTCCTCCAAGAGCTTACACGCAGCCAGCACCAAGTTCTCCCTGTCCCAGTACGGCTTCATCATGTTAACATGATATACCCGCTGGACACGTGTCCGGCCCGTCAGCTGCACCAGGTAGTTCACCTCGTTCAGCTCCTTAACGACCTTGAAGGGGCCGTCCCAGGCTGCTTGCAGCTTATTCTTCTGCACAAGAATTAGGACCATCACCTGGTCCCTGGTAGCGTAGGCGCGGGCCCGTGCATTGCGGTCGTACCAGACCTTCTGCTTCCACTGGGCCCTGCTCAGGTTCTCTCTGGCCAGGCCCATGAGCTCGGAAAGTCTTTCCCGGAACATCAGGACATAGTCCATGACTGGCTCCCCCTCCGGGGAGACCTTCCCCTCCCACTCGTCTCTCAGTAAGTCCAGGGGGCCCCTCACTCGCCTCCCATATAACAACTCGAATGGTGAGAACCCCGTGGACTCCTGGGGCACCTCCCTGTACACAAACAGCAAGTGGTGAAGGTACTTGTCCGAGTCCTGTGGGTGCTGGTGCATAAAGGTCCTTAGCATCTACTTCAGAGTCCCATTGAACCTCTCCACCAACCCGTTGGTCTGGGGGTGATATGCCAAGGTCCAGGTGTGGTGGACTCCACACTTCTCCCACAAGCACCGGAGCAGGGCCAACATGAATTTGGATCCTTGGTCTGTGAGAACCTCATGGGGGAAGCCCACCCTTCTGTCAGAGGCTGGAGAGGGATGGCAGGAGTCAAATCGCTTGATCATTGTCTTCGGTCCACCTTCTCTGGGGCACCTGGTGCTGGCCACTGTCAGTAACCCCCGGGGAACCCCCACCCTGCTGAAAATAGTCAGCAGTGCGTCTGCCACCGTGTCTGCCTCGATGGAGGGCAAGGCCACGGCCTCGGGGTAGCGGGTGGCAAAGTCCACCACCACCAGGATGTATTTCTTCCCCGTCCGGGTTGCTCTGTTGAAGGGCCCCACAATATCCATCGCCACCTTCTGGAAAGGCTCCTCTATGATGGGCAGAGGTCTCAACACAGCTTTCCTCCTATCTTGGTGTGACGTAGTGGGGGTAATTGCTGGGCTGTGGTGACCCCTGCTGTCTGGAGCAAGACCCAGCAGGGAAAACCTCGCTAGGCAGAGGTAATGCCAAACTGGTTGAACCAGTGGCCAGACACCCCCCATGGAGAGGAACAAAGGAAGGTGGAATGCGGCCCTGACTGGGGGGCAGGGCTGCAAGGGAATTTAGTTAGTTACTGTGGGAGAGCATGGAGGAGAGCCTAGGAGAAGGGGCTGGAGTTTAGGGGCCCAGTCTCCCCCATCTCAAGGGGGCCTGAGGCATCCTAGCCCAGCTCTGTGGCCAGACTACATCTGTGCTGTGCTGTATCCTGGAGAGGCAATAAACTTCCTCTATTCCACCGGCTGGTGCAGTCTGTTTGTGCCATTTCGAGGTGCAGGAGACGGGGAACCCCCAACGCGCCATCACACTTGGGCTTTCCCCACTCGCTGGCAGGAGTCGCAGGACCAGCAGTACCGCTGTACAGCTGCAAACATCCCCGGCCAGTAGAAGTTTTGGAGCAGCCTGAGCTGTGTTCTCCGGATCCCCTGGTGTCCCAAGAACGGGATGTCATGGGCCAGGTGTAGCCGCTTGCGGCGATACCTTTGGGGGCCCCCCAGCTGCCGCTGGAGCCCCCACTCCTCTATCTTCCCAGGTGGAAGCCATTCCTGGTACAGAATTCCCTTCTCCCACCGGAACTTCTCCTGACAATCTCCTCCTAGGGGTTGAGCTGCACCCAGGTCAGCCCGCTCCCTCAAGGCCTGCAAGGAGGGATCCACCAGCACCTCAGCCTGGAATTCAGCAGCTGGGGCTGGGACAGGGCCGTGTTTCCCCCCACTGCCTAGGTCCAACTCTATGTCTGTTGGGACGGGGCCTTGGGCCCCCTGTTGGGGAACCTCCTCGAGTTCCAGGCCGCCAGCCCCTCGCTTGCTCTGGCTACGGGTGGTGACCAGCGTCCTGTGGGGTCCATCTGGCCACGCCTCTAGGTCATCCCCCATCAGCACCTCGGTGGGCAAGTGCAGGTGCACCCCCACTTCCTTGGGTCCCTCCTTGGCCTCCCATTTCAGATGTACCCAGGCTACGGACACCTTAAATGGGGTGCCGTCTATGCCCCTCAGGGTCAGCTGAGTGTTGGGTAGCTTATGGTTTGGGGCCACTATATCGGGTCGGGCCAGCGTCACCTCAGCCCCCATGTCCCAGAAACCCATCACTTTCCTACCATCCACCTCCAGGGGTATGAGGCAGTCACTCCGCAGAGGCTGTCCTACCCCCACCAGGTACATGGAGAAATCCTCCTCCCGAGGGTCAGACCTCCTAGGGGAGGTGCACTGAGCGTCCTTCTCCCAACTCTGAGCTGAGGTTTGCCTGCCAGCCTCTGCCTCTGGGGCAGCCTGCTCTTCCCTCAGCCCCAGCCAGTTAACACTGGAATGGCCCAGGTCATGGGACCTGTTCTTGTGCCTGGTGCATTGAGCCCTCTTGTGGCCTCGTTGCCCACAGCGATGGCAAGTTAGGTTCTGCGGGCCTTTTTGGGTCAGCTATACCCAGGCTCTGGCTGGTTTTCTGGGGCACCAATGACTGGTCCTGGTCCCTGGGGCTCACCTCGGAGGTGCCTCTCTCCGTCACTCAGCTGAGAACCTGTCTCTGCATGATTCCCTTTCTCTCCAGGAGTCCCGTTCACACCCAGACCGGCTCTCCGTGAACTCATCCGCCAGTCTCCCAGCCTCCTGGGGGTACTCTGGTCTTCGGTCCTTGAGCCACAGCCTCAGTTTGGGTGGGCACGCTTCACTGAACTGCTCCATCATGACCAGCTTGAGCAGTTCCTCTGTGGTCTGGGCTCCGACTCCAGACACCCACTTGCGGCAGTATTGCACCAGGTGGGAGGCCAGATCCACATAGGTCTCCTGTGGCTCCTTCTGCACCCCCTGGAACTTCTTCCTGTACATCTCGGGGGTCAGCCCGAACTTGTGCAGCAGGGCTTCCTTAACTCGGTTGTAATCCCCTGGCTGTAGGTCCTCCAGCTGCCTGAGCACTGCAGCAGCCTCCTGGTTCAGTGCGGGGATGAGCTCCTGCAGCCAGTCAGCTGGGGGGACCCGTTACAGTCCACAGGCCCTCTCAAAGGAGCTGAGGAACCCATCTATGTCACCCATGTCCTTCAATTGGGGCACTGCCAAGCATCTGGCACTCCTGGTACCTTGGGGCCCATCTGCACTCGGCGCAGCTGGGGCCCTGCCGGTTCTCCGCTCTGCCATGGTCAACTCATGCTGTCTCTACCTCTCTCGGTCCTGACGGACCATTTCTCAATCTTGGCGCTCCTTCTCTTGGTCCTGTACTTCCAATTCCTTCATCCGCAGCTGGATCTCCAGCCACTGCAGTTGTGCTGGGCTGGCTCCTGCCCTAGATGGGCTACGACTTGCAGGCCTCCTGGGGAAAGGTGTCCCATCATTCCAGCAAGCTCCAGTGCCCCACCCCGTCTCAGAGTCTGATACACTCCCGGGGGGGAGGTCTGGCTGCTCCCCATAGGGACAAGATCCTGGCCCTGTGGCTGGTCATTCTCTTCCAGCCAGGAAATCAGCTGGGCCTTGGTTGCTTTCTGCACAGGCAAGCCCCTCTCTCTCCCCAGCTTCACCAGGTCTGCCTTCAAGAGTCGGGCATAGGCTATCTGCCCGCTGGTCCCCTCGGTGCAGACTCACCAGTCTAGTGCTGCAATGCCCCATGATTCTCAGGAACTGCTTTGCTCTGTCTCCAGTATGCCTTGCTCCAGGGCTCTTGCTTCTACTGCGCCTTGTTGCTCGCTGCTGGAAGCTCCATCCACGGGGTGCAGTGCATCCCACCCCTGACACCAGAGTGACGGCGCACCGGGTTTTTCCGTCTCCTGCACCCCCGTAATGGCATGAATAGACTCCACCAGCCAGTAGAATAGAGGGAGTTTATTGCTCCTTCAGGATACAGCACAGCACAGATGTAATCTGGTTACAGAAACTGGGGCTAGGATGCCTCAGTCCCCCTTGAGATGGGGGAGACTGGGCCCCTAAATTCCAGCCCCTTTCCCTAGGCTATCTCCTCCATGATCCCAGCCAGAAACTAACCCACTCACTTCCAGACCAGCCCCCAGCCAGGGCTTCACTCCCCTTCTTCCCATTTTTCTGCTCCCTGGGAGATACCTGTCTGACGAGTTTCAAAGCTCGCTTGCCTAATGACTCATCCCCTCCCCTGCTGGGCCGTGCTGTAGCCAGCAGCCAGTGGAGGTCACTCACAACCCACTGCCCAGCATAGCAACCAGCAAGGTACATATACGGAGTCACACCTGGCACAGCGAAACCCTGACATTAGGAGAAGAGGAAGGTGCCTAGAAACGTTGAACCCAGATACAAATCCTGCTTTCGGATCACAGTGGAATCAGCCCAGAAATGAGACACGTTGCCTCTTTAATTGGTTCATCTTATTTGACAGACACGCAAAATCCCAGGCTGTGGAATCGCTCTTCCCACGGCAGCCGCCATCCGGGCTCGGACAGGGGACCCGGCACCTGAGTGAATGTGACACAAACTTCCCGCCGTGTTAACCCCTTCGTGGCCGGGCAAGGTCTGGCCTTGGGTGCAGCGATCCCTCGCGTCCTGCGGGAACCTCAACCTGGGGTTCATCCCGTTCTGAGTCACCCTCCCCACCCTGGTCTGGCACGATGGCTCCCCCGCCCTTCCCCAGCGGGGGTTTGGCAGAGGTCTGGCGGATTGTTTTCCCCCAGCTCAGCTGGTGTCAGGGGGCGGAGCTGAGACCTCCCGGCCCCCCCCCTTCGCCCCGCCCCGCACTAAGGTTCCACAATTTCACGCAGTCACCCTGGAGATAAAAGAACCCGCACCTCGGCCACTGATGACGTCACTCTGCTCACCGCGGGCACCCAGGTCAATGAGAGCAGTGACGTCGCTAAGGGCTGTAAAATAGGGCGGGGCCAATCGCTCAGAGAGAGACTGATGCGCGGGGGGTCACAGGACTGCGGAGGAATCGGGGGCACGAAGAACACCGAAGGGCTCCCCAGAGACAGGGCCCGATGCTTCCCTGGGCCTCCTGTGAAATCTCCGTCCTAAGTACTGTGCTCACCGCGGGCACTCAAGTGAATGAGAGCAGTGACGTCGCTAAGGGCTGTAAAATAGGGCGAGGCCAATCACTCAGAGAAGCTGATGCGCGGGGGGGGGCTCAGGGCTGCGGAGAAATCGGGGGTACGAAAGACACCGAAGGGCTGCCCCGAGACAGGGCCCGACGCTTCTCTGGGCTTCCTGTGAAATCTCCGTCCTAAGTTAGGCATCACCTGAATTGCACATGGCGGGGTTGGATCGTTGTGTCAGGCCAGGGGACGGTGTTGGGGGGATGGGCCAAGCCTTCGCTTTTCCCTTGGGGAAAAGTATCTTCCGGATCCCCCGCCCAGGCGCTGCGCATAGCAAGAGCCCATCCGAGTCCTTCTCTCCAAGACCAGAAAACATCCTCCACCTCACCCGGGGAAGGAGCGTGTCTCTTATAAGGCGGGATATGCAAATGAGGGCGTCAGTGTCCACTTTAAATCTGTCCCTCGCTCTGCCCAGGCTGCACCCGCAGAGACCATCCGCAGCCCTCGGGTCTCTGCAGGGAGCAGCCAGTCCCCTCGAAGGTCCTCGAACAGCATGAAAATGAAAAAGTTTCTCCTTTTGCTTTTCGCTGTAGCCGTTTTGCGAGGTATTTTATTCCTCTGAATAACGGGAAGAGTCGGGATAATATTGTGTCATCGCTGCTTTGATCCCCCTATTAACACCCGGTCTTTATTCCCCAGGTGCCCGATCCCAGGTGCAGTTGGTGGAGTCCGGAGGGGATGTGAAGAAGCCCGGAGACTCTCTGCGCCTCTCCTGCAAAGCGTCCGGCTTCACCTTCAGCAGCTACTGGATGCTCTGGGTCCGGCAGGCTCCCGGCAAGGGGCCGGAGTGGGTCGCTGCTATCGAGTACGATGGGGATAGGATATTCTACCTTGATGCCGTGAAAGGCCGATTCACCATCTCCAGGGACAACCCCAACAACCTGCTGTCCCTGCAAATGACCGGCCTGAAGCCCGAGGACACCGCCCGCTATTACTGTGCGGGAGGCACAGTGAGGAAAAGCCGGTCTGAGCCCAGACACAAACCTCCCCCTGCAGTGAGCAGCGAAGCCGTTTGGCGCTGGGGGCGCCCAAGCTCCATGCAGGAAATGAAACCGAGTTCAGAGAGAGGCTGGGAACAGCAAACCCCTTTCACTGTCGCTCTCAGCCCTCCGCCTTGAGGGGCGGCAGCTCCCGGGACAGGGCTGCAGTGGCTGGGGCGGGATATCAGGGCGGTTCCACCCGGCACACAGAGAACAGCTCCTCCTTCCAGAGCCGGGTCATCCTCTGGCTAATCCAAGAACCAGGCCTGCAGCTCCGCTCGCTGGCAGCTGCGGGCATCGCCCCCTATCGCTGCGCCGGAAGAGACACCGCGACACAGAGCGCAGCCGGGACCCGGCCAAAAAGGGGAGGCGGATTCTCACCGGACTCTAAGGCCTCTCGGCCTGTCGTTTACCTGCGCAGGGAGAGCGAAGCAGACGCCGCATTTTTACTCGATGGGAGTGAAGGGGCAGTGCGCGGTTTCCGGTTCCATCCTCCCCTCCCCCCCAACAGGCTCTTGGGGTCGGTGCTAGACGCTCTTGGAACCTTGACACGGGACCTTCTGTGAATGGAACCTCTGCCCTGGGCCTGGAGCCCCGCAACCCCCGGGCAGTGTCACCTCCCGCTGCGGGCTGGGCCCCGCGCAGACACGGCCCCGGTCCCGAGCAAACCCCCGTCAGCGACAGCTGGAGAGATGGGTCAGGGCTGGGATTTCCGAGCAGACCCATCAATCCAGGTGTCTCCCCCCCCCCCCCCGTGGAACTGCCAGTCCCTCAGTTGGGGTGAGGGGGGAGGCTCACAACCGACAAGGCGAAATTCTTTGCACAAGGATAAACAGCCCAGCTGCGGCCCCGCCTCACCTGACTCTCTCCAGGGCTGACACCAGCGCGGTTGTGGGACCTAGAGGCAGAGACCAGTGGAGCCGCTTGGAAGAGACCCCTGGGCAGGTGGGATCCGATCCCATTGGTGAGGGGTCAGAGATCCCTGGGGCGGAGCAGGCAGGGGTGGGAACTTGCCTGCTGGCTGCTCTCATTGTACTTTAGTGTTCCTAGGGGTGACCGGCCCGGACCTCTGTCTCTAGCGAGGGCGGCCACGGTTTTCTTACACTGGCTCCCAACCCGAAGCCAACTCCCTCGCTTGCTGCCATGGAGGGTCTGGCCAGAGGCGTAGTGAGGAGGTTTTTCCCCCGGGCAAAAGAAAAATTTGCGTCCCTCCCCTTCGCCAAGTGGCACGGCCCGAAGCTGGTGCACAGCTCAGAGGAACTTAAATCGCCTCTTCCTATGTGCAGAATGAATTTTGTGTTGTGCACCTGTACTGACTTCATGGGGCTTGTTTGGATGTGCCACTGTGGCACCCAAGTTATTAATAGATATTTTATAAACCTCTCCCTTTTCCCTCTGCTGCCATGTCTCCTCCTCTTGCTTCATCAGCTCCCCTGGTACCTGATGCCCCCCAACTCCTCATCCTCCTCTGCTGTCCTGACTCCTGCCCTTCTCACTGCCCTCAGCCCTCCTGCCACTTGCACCCCTCCACCAGCCCTTCTCTCCCCCCTGTGTCCCACCCCCCCCCCCCCCCCTGCCCCTCGCCCCCCTCCACCAGCCCTTCTCTCCCCCCTGTGCCCACTGCTCCAGTAGCCTCATTCTGATCATGTGAGCTACCCCTCCTCATCCCCTCTCCTAACACCTCCCTCTACACACCTGCCCTGCCTCTCTCCCCTGGTGCTGGTCCCTCCTCTGCAGGTGTTTGCCCTTCTGCTTCACCCCCAGAATTCCCTGGCATCTGCACCTTCCCTTACCCCTGCACCCGCCTGGTGCCTCCCCCTTCCCTCACTGCCTCTGCCCCCTTTGCCCTCTTTTTCCCTGATGCCCACCCCCTCACCACTGTTTGCCCCCATTCCCCTCATGCCCCAGTGCCCTCACACATGACTTGCTCCATCCTCACCTTTCTCATGCCCAGCCCTTCTTTCAAGCCTGCTCCCAGCACCTCTCCCTCCCCCTCTAACCACCACTCGCCTTACCCCTTCCTCTCCCAGCATAACCTTGTCCCCTCTCCCACAAACACCTCCCCTCCTGCCCTTTTCCTCATTGTTTCCACTTGGCCCCCTGGCATTTGTCTCTCCTCCAAGCTGTCCCTTGGTACCTTCCTCTTCCTCCGCCTCGCCCTCTGCACAAGCCCACTTTGCAGGGCCAGAGTCTGCTCGCCGACCCTAGAAGTCCCCAGCCTCCAAAACCGGAGCTAGGAGCAATTTTAAAATCCCAGGCGTGATGTCATGTCACGCCTGGGCGTCTCCCCAGTCATCTGGAAATGCCGCGCATGGCAGCAGCAGCAGCCGGCAACGCGGGCCGGCAAGGGGGAGCCGATTGAACGCTGCGCAGGGCAGGGAAGGCCCGGGGCCGGAGAACGCGCGGGGCGCAGCAGGTGAGGGCCAGGCAGAGCCGGGGGAGAGACCCGGCTCCAAACATTGCTGTAGTAGAGCCCCGGCTCTGAATATTGCTGGAGTATCGGCACCAGGAGGCCATATAACTTGCCGCCCATGAGTCGGGTGAGCCTGCACAGCGTGGGGTGGGCTCTCACCCCGACCCCCTAGCGTGGTGCCCGAGGGCAATTGACCCTCTCTCCCCCCCTTCCCTACGACTCTGGGTCTGGCTTCCGGCAGTGACGCGGACCCTGCATTGCGCTCCACGGCCGAGGCGATCCGGGCAGATTTAGTGGCTGAGACAGGAATTCTCAAAGGAGCCCAGTGAAGCGGGGGCCCGAATCCGCCCCGCAGCTTCGCTACTCCCGGGTACCTTGACTCCGTCCCAGCCCCTGCCTATGGGGCGAATGTGGCCCGAGAGCGGGAGACCGGTGCCCGCAAACCCCTGACCCCGCAGGCCCCGAGAGCCGCATCCTCATCGGCCTCAGTCTCCCGCCAAAGGGTCTGGTCTCCGGCGGGTCCCGAAGCCCGTTGGGACCAGTCGGGCCCCGGCCTGTCAGCGCATGCGCTGTGCCCGGCGCTTTGGAACCCAGGGAGGGGGCGGAGCCTACGGGCTGGTTCTTCGTTTCTATTACAGACAAATTCTATGAGGGCGCCGCGACGCAGCGCAGGACAAAGGCCCCGCCCCCCTCTGACTGCCCGGGCCAGGCTTCCCATTGGCCCCGGGCAGAGAAGGGGTTTCCTCCGCTTATAGGAAAGGGAAATGCAAATAGGAGAGACGGGTTCTTGTTTAAAGCCCCTCCCCCTTTCTCTGCCCAGACTGCAGTGGGACCGACCATCCCCAACCGCCCCGCCCGGGCTGTGCAGCTCCCAGCCACCGCCCCCTGAGAAATTGCCCCTCCCGCACCAGGAGAAATGGGACTTTGGCTCCATGTAGTTCCCCTGATAGCCGCTCTGGAGGGCAGTTGCTAAGCTAAATGCACTGGACAGGCATTTAATGTCCATTTGCGGTCGCCCGGGGCCCCGTCACAGCAGTTATTGGAGTCCAGCGGGGGGACGTGAAGGAGTCACCTTCTGCAAAGCCTCCGGATTCACCTTCAGCAGCTACGAGATGAGCTGGGTCCCACAAATTTATTCTAATAGGAGCCACCAAGTTTACGCAGACTCAGTCAAAGGGCGAGCCACCATCTCCAGGGACAACCCCAGCAACCTGCTGCACCTGCAACTGACCGGGCTGAAGCCCGAGGCCACCGCCCGCTGTTACTGGGCCGGGTACACAGCGAGCAGAAAGCTGCCCAGCCCCGAACACAAACCGAGTTGCAGCGAGAGCCACTCTGCCAGCGCCCGGCAGGGGGCAGCAGCGACCCGCAGGTCCAGGCTGTTCTGACCGGTCAGTGCAGGGATCGGTGTGAAAGGGCAGGTCGGTGCCCAGAGCAGCGGGTGAATATTTCGGGAACTCTCTGTGTTCTAGGGACACGAGACAAATATTCCTGCAGGTCTCCCCCAGCCAGTGACACCGCTGAGAGCAGAGTGCAACGTGCAGCCAGAGAGAACATAAGAACGGCCAGACTGGGTCAGTCCATGGGTTCATCCAGCCAAATATTCTATCTGCCCACAGTGGCCAATACCAGCTGCCTCAGAGGCAGGAAACACAGGTAATCCTCACCTGATCCCTCTCTTGTCATCCATTTCCAGACAAACAGAGGCTAGGGACACCATTCGTACCCATCCTGGCTAATAGCCATTGATGGACCTAGCCTCCATGAATCTATCTAGCTCTTTTTTGAACCCTGTTAAAGTCTTGGCGTTCACTACTTCCTGTGGCTAGGAGTTCCACAGGTTGACTGTGCACTGCTTGAAGATAAACTTCCTTTTCTTTGTTTTAAACCTGCTGCCTATTAATTTCATTTGTTGACCCCTAATTCTTATATTGTGGTAATAAGTAAATAACTTTTCCTTATTCACTCTCTACACACCAGTCATGATTTTATATACCTTTGTCAAATCCCCTCTTAGTCTCCTCTTTTCTAAACTGGAAAAAAGTGAATCTATGTTATCCCCAAAGGGTTTTGGGAACCGGATCCTGGGCAGGAACCAGACTGGCTTGGCTGGGGTCCGTGTCTCTCCTGCTTCTTCCTACATTTCTTCATCGTCCACTTTCCATCCTCCCCCGCCTCTGTCTGCAGCAAGTTACAAGCGACACCAGGTCACGTGGATTATTTACCTCCCCCGTGTGTCCATGGACCAGCCCTACACACGTGTCTGTTCCTAGCAGCCATGGCACCTTCTTCTCATCGGACTTGGAAGCTCTTTCTAAGGAGCAGTCATTGGTACTATCCTGTTTCACAGTAGGCCAGGGGCAAAGCCAAGGAGCCGTGTCCAGGTCTCTTGAGTCCCACCCGCTCCGTACCGAGCAGAGCCGGCGTGACCTGTGCGGGACAGTCGCTCGGACTAAACGCTTCTAATAGAGATTTCTGGCGGTAATAAATAAATGAAGTCTCCCTGAAATCAGCATGTTTCGTGCTTCCCTGATTCACACTCATCACTCGGCCTCTGTGTCTGTCAGGGAAGTTTCCAGCCTCGATACTGGCTCTCAGGTTCGGCACTTTTTGAGGAAGGTGCGATTTGCATATGCAAATGCAGAGGAAATATATTTCCTTTTAAAAACCCGCGGCCTGGTGCTCAGTGGATTCGCGTTGCAGCAGGAGAGGAGGTGATCAATTGCTGTAGGGTCGCTTATCGCAGTAGCCATGAAATGTGGGCTCAGTTTTCTTCTCTTGCTGGCAGTTCTCCCAGGTGGGTGAATATCACCGGGGCAAGGCCGGGGGCAAACAGAACCAGCCGGAAGGAGTCTCGCCATGTGTCTTCTTTCTCCACAGGGCTCAGGGCTCAGATCCAGCTGGTCCAGTCGGGGGCAGAGACGAAGAAGCCGGGGGAGGCGGTGAAGATGTCCTGCAAAGGCTCTGGCTACACGTTCACTAGCTATTCAATCCACTGGATTCGACAGGCTCCAGGGAAAGGGCTGGTTTACATCGGATGGATTAACACAGACACGGGGGCGCCCACTTATGCGGATAGTTTTAAGGGGAAAGTCACCATGACTCTGGACAAATCCAGCAGCACCGCCTTCCTGCAAGTGAGCAGCCTCCAGGCGGGAGACACCGCCGTGTATTACTGTGCCAGGCACAGTGAGAGAACAGGCGGGAGACACCGCCGTGTATTACTGTGCCAGAGACACAGCGAGAAAAGCCCCATTCACCGCCGTTCAAAAAGGAGAAGCGGGTTTCCTCCTGCGTGTGGCGACACCCGCTAATCGCACTAAACCGCAGCGTCCTTATCTCGCTGCTCCGGTCCGCACACTCGTGTTCCTGGCACCCGCCCTCCCTGGCACATTCCAAGTCTCGCAGGGAATTCGGACACCCCCTTCCTGTTGATTCCATTACACAGGCAAAGCTGGCTACATTGGAATTCCTCTCTGACATTCCAAGTGCAGGCAGTGTTGGTACATTACACAGGGAAGGGTGAATCCCGTGGTCGTTTAGACGGGCCAAGGTATTTAGTGTGCAAACAGCTACTGCAAGGGGCACACACTGCCGATGCTGTTCAGTGACATATTGGTCCAATGCCCATTGGGATAAGCTCCTGTCTCCTCTCGGCTCGCTACATCTTGCCTTGGCACAGCCTGTCATTTCCACAAGTCTCAGCTGGTCACAGTCTTGACCACCGCGGTGCAGAACCACGAGCCATTTTTTCCTGCAGTGCCAGAGTCACTCTTAAAGTGAACATGCTCTCACCCCTCCCCCACAGCTTTGGGGGTCTACTTCCTTCTGCTCCCCAGAGCTTGCCTCGCGTGTGCCAACGGGGTGAGAGAGAGAAATGGCAGACGAAGTCAGGGTACTAACTAGGAAGACTTGGCAGTGAACACGTTCGCAAATATTGCCTCAGGAAAGAAATCGATAGGCCTTGGGAATGACGTCACCTCTGATCCAAAATGAAATCTGGCCCGGGGGTACAATGTGAATGGGGGGAAATACGGAATGAGCTGCTGTCTAGGTGTGCAATGGGGAGTGCATCCCGCACACGCTCCCAAAGGGGAGTCTGGGAGTCCAACTACAGAGAGGACAGCCAGATGTAACTGAGGAGGAAGCCCAGTTGGGAGAGGATCTGGGAGGGGGTTACACACAGCGGAAGTTGGCTACTGAACATTTCGCAGTGATTTCTTCTTATGTGACGTCATAGCAAATAAGCATTGACAGTCATGCACCTTGATAATTATCCCTTATCTTAGTGTTCTTTCCCCCACTTCCTGTCCTACTTTTCTAGGATTCTCGGCATTTCTTGTGTATGAAAATGGGGTCAGAGCAGTTTTGGGGGAGGGGTTGCTGGGTTGCTCCCCTCCACACACCTCTGTCCATGCTCCTTCCCACTCCTCAGCGCTGGAGCAGCAGTAGGTGGGATGTGAACGGGGTAAGGTGGAGAAGGTTGGGGCTACAGCTGGGGGGTGGGTGCTGAGCCCCAGGTGTGGGGTCAGTAGACAGGTGGGACTCTAGGCACAGAGCCAGTGGCCACCAGTCGAATCCCCGTGCAAAGGGCCAGCAGATGCGTGGGAAGCTAGAAAGCTCCTCCCATTGTTCCCTCATCTCCCCTCTCTCTGACCGATTTGTTTGCTGCCTGGTTTAAAAGGCTTTTCGAGCGGACTTACGCAAATTCAGCGGGGCGGCTTCTTTTTAAAGAGCCAGGCAATTCCTCTTTCTCCGGCCCACTCCAAGTGCCCTGCCCCGCGCTGTGTCTCTTCATCTGCTCCACTCGAATCCTGAATCAGACACACACGATGCGTTTCATTGTCCTGTCCCTGCTGACGGGTCTCTCAGGTACGAACCTCGGAGGCAGCTGAGAGAAAAGCAGGAGGCAAACGCAGCCCAAAGGAACGTGCTAAAGGCTCCGCTGAATCCTGGCCTAGCGCTGTAATATTTGTCTCTTTGCAGGTGTCTGGTCGCAGATCCAGTTGATCCAGTCCGGAGCGGAGGTTAAAAGAGCAGGAGACTCCGCAAAACTCTCCTGTAAAGCGACCGGCTACACGTACACTGACCAGGGCATGCACTGGGCCCGGAGGGCTCCGGGGAAAGGCCTGGAATGGGTATCTTCAATTACACACGGGGCTGGGGACACCCAGTACTACGCAGACTCGGTCAAAGGGCGATTCACCATCTCCAGAGACAACTCCCAGAACCTGCTGTTCTTGCGCATGGCCGGGCTGAGGCCTGAGGACACCGCTGTGTATTACTGTGCGCGATGGGGCGAACACAGTGGGAGAAAACACCTCCTGGCTCATGCAAAAACTCCTCCGTGGGAAATTCCAGTTCGTCTCAGGGCCAGCAGATGGCAGCAGGGCCCCACATCAGCTACTAGCAATTGCAATTGGTTTCCAAGCTCATGATATTTTTGTTAGTCTCTAGTCTAAGGTGCTGCAGGACCATTCCGTGTGTGTGTGTGTGTGTGTGTGTGTGTGTGTGTGTGTGTGTGTGTTTAAAGTTTTTCCAGAGGAAGGGTTAAAGAGTTATCCAACAGGAAGAAATTCCCAAGTGCATCTTCCTGGGTTCTCAAAGGGGTTTTTGCATGTGGGTTGCAGCAGAGCATCATCCAAGGCCTGGGAATTTAATACCAGCTTTCAACTCCTTAAGGGGATTCCAGAGAGGATGGAGAGAGGCTGGTCTCAGTGGTGGCAGACGGCAGAATGAGAAGCAATGGTCTCAGGTTGCAGTGAGGGAGGTCTAGGCTGGATATTAGGAAAAAGCTATTTCCCTAGGAAGGTGGGGAAGCACTGCCATGGGTAACCTAGGGAAAGGGTGGAATCTCCATCCCTAGAAGTTTTTAAATCCCAGCTTGACAAAGCCCTGACTGAGATGATTGAGTTGGGATTGCTCCTTTTGGGCAGGGGGTTGGACTCGATGACTCCTTAGGTCTCTTCCAGCCCTAGGATCCTGTGATTCTATGAAATTCCAATCTTGGGGAGTTTTAGAAGCCTTTAGTGACAGGGTATTTAAAGTGTCTTGCAGCTTCCCCTGCCCACCCCTAGGTTCTGCACTGGAAGTGCCATTGGCAGGGAAACAGTCAAAGCTCACAGCGCCCCAGCATAGAGGCAAAGGTGGCCCCCCCAACCCAGTTCACCAAGGGGAAGCTCTGGACCATCTGTGATGTAGTGGGGGTACCTGGCTGGTTTCTATGCTGCTGGCTCTGGGGTAACCCCCACTGGCTGCCCTGGGTACCACGACCCAGCAAAACAGGATGAGTCACTATGCAAACCAGTAGAGCCAGACACCCCCCATGGAGAGGAACAAAGGAAGGTGGATGCTGCCCTGGCTGGGGGGCAGGGTTGGAAGAGGGTTAGTTAGTTGCTGGCTGGGAGCATGGAGGAGACAGCCTAGGGAAAGGGGCTGGAGTTTAGGGGCCCAGTCTCCCCCA